TTCTGAAAACTTATGAGTTGGGTCCCCATTTTCCATATTTCTCTTGGCATTCTGCTCTTCAAAGCACCAGTTAGAATGGCCCAATTGTTCTCTGCTTAGGACATTCTGGCTTCTCTAGTCCATAACCTCAAACTCTCTCACACACACACCCACAAAGGAAACCTGTTTCAAAATTTAAAAGTAAGTGAACAAGTTTATTACAGCAATGATCCCACTCAGTGCCATTTTCTACTTCTGTAATCAGATACTAAAGAAAAGGAATTTAAAGAAAGAGGACTTTGTTTTAGCTCATAGTTTGAGGATATGATCCTTCCATGTGGGGAGGCATGACAGTGAGTGCCTCTACCTGTAGTGGCAATGGTCTAGCAACAAGTAATATTGTATCAGCAGGCAGGAGCAGAGAAAAGCAAATGTTGGCTCTCCACTTGTTCCCCCTCTTTATTTGCTCTGATGTCCCAGTGTGTGGAATGGTACTGCCAACCTTCCTGGTAGATCTCCCCACTTAAGTTAAACCTCGCTGAAAACACCCTCATAGACATGCCCAGAAATTTGTCTCCTGGGTGATTTTAAGTTTCATCAAGTTCACTCAAGATTAACCATTACAACTTTTACAGGAGAAAAGTAGTGTGCAGCTTAAGGAGGACTTGAAAAGGATAAATGATGGATTCTTTGCCTTTAACAAGTTTTTGAAAAAAGTCTATCTCTAAGATGCTTCTTTCAGAACTTACTGTGAAAACCTGGTTAAAAGTAGCATCATGGGAACGTGCAAGAGAATTGCTGAATGCCAGCATGACAGCCACACCAGGGTGTAAGGAGTGTGTTTCTTTAGTCAAGCTTGTATGGATTCTTTAAGGATAAGAATGGCTTCAGTCAAAATACTGTGGAAGTGTGAGGAGGGCCACTTGCAACTTAAACCCGGTTTAAGCTAATATTTATAATGAATGAAAGTATTTGTAGTTAAATATCATTTTATAATTTTCTTTGGGTGAGTACATCCACTACTTTTATTTATAAATATTTCTTTCACATTTTTGGAGATAACAACATCATTACCTCATCCCCCCCTTCCCTTTCCACTCTCCAATACTTCCCATATAATCTTTTTTTGCTATACAAATTTATGGCTTCTTCTGTCATTCATTGTTGCTACATACATATATGTATATATGTATACACGCAAATGTAATCCTAAATATAGTGTTCTCAATCTGCATAATTTTACTTGTATGTATGCTTTCAGGGCTGACCATTTGGTATAGCTAAGCAACTGGTGTGTTCTTCCTTGGGGAAGACTATTTTGCCCCTTCTCAGCATTCCTTAGTTGTCTGTGGTCCTTTGTGTATGTATGGTTAAGGTCTCATAAGATGTCTCCACATCCATAGCACGACTATTAGTGTCACCATTGTCTAGCTTGTGTTTAAGCGTCCATGTTGTTAAGCTGTCCAAATTCTAGAAGCCGATGCAGGAGGATAACTGTTAGTTCAAAGACAATATTTCCAGTCATTTTACAGGTGGAGCGTCTGACATCTCTAGGAGATGCAATCTCACAGCAAACTTCCTGATTCTCTAGCTCTTACATGTTTACAAACCTCTTCGGCAATGATTGTTGGGCCTTAAGTGTAGAAGTTGTATTATCTCTATTTTAATTTTCTGGTTTTTTTATCCCTTTTGTTTTTTATTTGTCTGCTTGTTTTCTTTTCTTTTGCAATACTTTTCTATCATGACAATAGGTCTGTAAAGGTGGTTATGACAAATTCATGAACACCCATAGTCATATGCCTGTATTTCCCTGAACTAGATGAAGAAATAAGCTCCAAAACGAAGAAAAAAGTATTGGTCCACACCTTCTTAGATCATCAGCTTCAGGTTGCTGCTGAGTTTCTATTGATTTTTACTCATAATATTTTGATGAGCTCCACTGAATGAGTCATCCTTCTGTCTAAGCCAACACAATAGATATTAGCTGATAAATATTCCAAAGCTAAGAGTAAGTGACTTAGAGGAACCCTTTGAGTTACAACCTCTCTCTTTCACACTCACCAGGCAAAAATGCCAGTGTCAATATTTCTTATACAGGTCCATCTTCAAGCTCAATGAAGGCTGTGTCGATCAACTTGGCAGGTTGCCTTGGGAATTATACAACTACAGCATTAAAACCACGACTGATGGTGAGTTAATTCTTATGCTTTGTGTATAATATAATTCTACATTCCCTATTCTTTTTGGTTAAGAATAAGACTATCCCAAAACAATAGAATAGGCCAAGGTTTATCCTGCCACTCCCTGTGGATCTGAAGATTCAAAGTCAACACCTTTGAAACTTGTTCCTATTATGAACCATTACTTGATCTCACCAGCCACAATTTCAGCTCCACCTCCCTTTCTGTATTGAGCTCATTATAAGCATGCAGGAAGTCACTTTCAGACTGAATACAGTTTTCCCAATGCCACTCCCTTGACTCATTTTCAAGTTCTGTTGTGACAGGTGTAACCAATAACAGCAGCAAATGTATGCTACTATAGAAAGATATCAAACATTCAGTTTGTTTTAAATGAGCACCTATTTGGTTAAAAAAACTTCACTAATTCAAAGATGTAGGAATTGAACTACCTTTTAGGAGAAATTTTTGTAAATGAAAACAGAAGAAAGCTGTCCAAATTCTAGAGTCCGAGGAAGGAGGATAACTCTTAGTTCAAAGACATTATTTCCACTCATTTGTCCAATATGACTTCTCAATGTATTTTAAGTCAAAATCATAAGTCAAATAAAATAGAAATACTATGTACAAGAGGTAGCATTGAAAGGATCATCTGAACTAGAAAAAAAGTAGAAAATACTCAAAACACTCCATGTTAGAAAAAATTTAATGATGAATCCACTCAAAATAATGTAATTCATCTTTTATAATATAGACACTAAGTTGTCAGTAACTGATAAATGAAGGTACTATTTATTGAGTTAGAATTGTATTAAAACAAGTTAGAAATATAAGATACTCTATCTAAGAATTAAAAATCAGAATAGGATCATGAAATAACATTATTAAAATACAATATAAATATTTATGCTATGATACGATTAAAATGTGTTGAAGAGATCTATAAATGAATAATTTGAAGTTAGCAAATAAATGAAATTTTCAGGTAATATGTTTAATTTTTAAAATATATTTCATTCATTTTAGTCAAAAACCTAAGTGTAGAATCAGGCCTAAGTAGCGGGTCTAAAGATGAGTTTATGAAGAGTAAGGGGACCACTTAGTCCTGGCAGTATTCTCTAAATTGTACATTCCGTTTTAAAACCTGTCAGATTGAAGCCCTGTGGTAAATTCATTAGCCATTGCCTACCAATTACTAATAAGACAAAGTCAAAAGCCTGTCTAAGAAGCTCTTCAACTTTCCATTCCTCATGGGCACATAGAAACTCAGGGAGGAGTACGTTTTGCTTTTGCCTTTTTTTTTATAAATTTTATTTAAATTATATTAAACATAAACAAAAAACAAGTTTCCACCTCCTCCCAACCTCCCATTTCCCTCCCCTTCCTCCCACCCTTCTCCCCCTCCCCCCACTCCTCTTCCCCTCCCTCTCCAGTCCACAAAGCAGTCAGGGTTCCCTGCCCTGTGGTAAGTCCTAGGTACTCCCCCCTCCGTCCATATCTAGGAAGGTGAACATCCAAACTGGCTAGGCTCCCGCAAAGCCAGCACATTAAGTAGGATCAAAACCCCTTGCCATTGTCCTTGGCGTCTCATCAGCCCTCATTGTTCGCCATGTTCAGAGAGTCCGGTTTTATCCCATGCTTTTTCGGTCATAGTCCAGCTGCCCTTGCTGAGCTCCCAGTAGATCAGCTCCACTGTCTCAGTGGGTAGGTGCACACCTCGTGGTCCCGACTTCTTTGCTCATGTTCTCCCTCCTTCTGCTCCTCATTGGGACCTTGGGAGCTCAGTCCAGTGCTCCTGTGTGGGTCTCTGTCTCTATCTCTATCCATCACCAGATGAAGGTTCTATGATGATATGCAAGATATTCGTCAGTATTGCTCTAGGATAGGGTCATTTCAGGTTCCCAATCCTCAGCTGCCCAAGGAACTAACTGGGAACCTCATCTTGGGCACTTGGGAGTCCCTCTAGGGTCAAGCCTTTTTCTTTTTTGGTACTAACAACTGAACTTAGTACCTCATTGCACACGAAGTAAGTGCTCTACCAGTGGCTAAAACACCTAGACTACCTTTTCCTCTCAAGTCACACAGTTAGAGAAAAGGCTAAGGCGGGAGTTCAGATTTTAATAACAGTCTGATTGTATTCCGTTTCCATTCTTAAGCATTCATTATTTCCTAGGAAGTAATCCCAGTATAGTCATTCAACTTGACAACTTGACCAACATATTAGACAGAAATGCTTGTTCCATACTCTGCATTTTCTCAGGTTTTGCTCCTGCCTGCAAGACCTACTTCTAATCTTACATTCTTGCCCTAACCCTCCACTCATGCCTACTCTCCTTTTCCACTTATTATCTTCTAGTATCATTGGGCTAAGATATGTTTTCAGGATACAATATTTAGAATAAGAGTAGGTATGTTTTAATTTCATGGTTTATGCTCACTTATCCTATAACCATTTGTCCTGCCTATTCAAGCCTTTCTCTGTATCTCTGTTTTACACATTAAGAGGGATAAATATTTTATCATAGAGAAAAGCATATTCAGAGGGGGTGCCTGTCAATGCATGGGAAGTGAGGAGTGAACTTATGATAATAAGCAGAAGTGGCACATCCTGTTGAATAAAAACAACTGTGATGTGAAATGGCCACAGGATTATGAAAATATCTGCTGCCTGTAGTCATGTTTATTGACAACTTACCAGATAAATGGAATTGTTTCTGATTTGTGAGGTTTCCCGGTCTCTAATTCTGGTCCACAAGCCATACCATTGGTTCAAGTTGTTTTTTTCAGACTTGTTTTACGAGTTAGGCTTTAATTACATGGGATTTCCTCCTTTGGCTTCAGGTACACACAGCACGAAAGAGTCACACAGTTGAGTGGGAATCTCAAAGCAGTTGAACACACAGAAGAAAGGACCTTGTCATTATTCAGGAGGAAGATGTTTAGGTAAGATCTGCTTTTGCCTCTGTAGCTTTCTTTACAAGTTTTGCTGTGTCTTAAAGCATGTAAAGAACATAAATGTTTAAGAAATTTGGGTTGTAGAAAGCAATTACAGTCACTTTTCTGAAAACTTTAGTGAAACTGTTGGAGATTGTTTAAACATGACTGGTGTTGTTTAGGTAACATTCTTGGTTGTTTCTCTGTTTAGGGGGACTTTTTTCAAACCAAATAAATAAACCAAAGAAAATGAAGTACTGTTATTACATTCTCTTTGAAGAAGGAAGTATTTTATTTCCCAAGTTTCAGTCTTCAAAAGCTGAACTGTGATTATTAAAACATAGTCAGAAAAAAAATTTGCTCTGTTGCTTGAGAACTTTTTGAAGATTAAATGTTTTTATTTCTCCTGGTGTCATCACCAGCTACTAAACGTGACATGAATCCTAAGGCTTTCTCCAAGAAAGCAAAGGCAAGATTTCTCTCTATTTTGTGCAATAATGCTATTTCTAGTTTTAGTAAATATTGCTACTAATTAAGAAAACTGTCATTGCTCCAATTTTCCTTTTGGTTGATGTAAACTTATTTTCATAAACTTTTACACACAAAGCAAATCATCTCATAATCTGCCTTTAGATACTACTTAATTGGCAAACTTAGTTAATAAACTTAATACCAAGTTAACAACTTAGTTAGCATAATAAAAATAATTGTATTGTATATATTGTACATATGGCTTTTCTATCAGCATTGGAGAAATGACCCTACCTGGCAGGCTATACTAAAAGAGGAACAATTAAGGCAAGAATACTGTTTAGGTGTAAGTGCAGTTGAGTTTTGCTTTAATATTGGAACATCAGATAGAAGAATAAAAATCAAACCATATTTAATAACAAAACTCATGTATGATTAAATCTATTTGAGTATACCTATAGATAAGTAGGAAATAAGTAGCAGTCTGTTTTTCAAACTTAAAAATAAATTGTTTCACATTTGTCTTGGCATTTTGGTTTCCACAGATTGTACTTTTGACTATATTTTATTTCTTAAACAAGCTGTATCTATTGTAATCATTTTTCTTATTAACATGAAATATCTACAATCAATAATTATGTAAAACTGATGAAATTCTGAAATTTAAGACAGCATAATTTTGAAAGTACATTCCATCTGCCTGAGTAAAGCTTCGAACTCCCAGGGTATGGGGTTGGGGAAAGTATTCAAATGGCCTAGGGACTTCTTTTATTAAATTCCAGTTGCCCAATTCTTCCAAATTCTCTGAGAAATCAGGGCATCAAGTAAGGTAGGCAAAAAGGAACAGATTTTTATCTTTTTTATACTTTTATTTTTATACTTTTTAAATAATTTTATGCAATTTTTACCTAAATTTAGATATATTTAGTATATTCAAGTAATTATGAAATATTTCTGTTTGACAATGGGCTTTCTTGGCAGATTTGTGTGCTCTCCTACACAAATTACACTCTCAGATTTCATCCAAGCTGCCATTTCCTAAAGGCTGCACACATGATTTGTTCATGTCTTTGTTCATGTTCTTGTCTCTGAAGACAGAAATCCTCATACAGGCCCTAGAACTTAAACAGCTACTTTATAAAAAATAATTGCTATTCGTTTAAGTTCTGTGGTTTTCCAGAATTTCATAGGTCTACTCAGAGTATTCATACCCACCAGATAGCATAAAAATCAAAAGATTAAGGTGGGGTTTAGAAAGCAGGATGAGGGTTTAGAAGTCGACAATCAGAGCACTGTTTAAAGAAAGATTTCAAATAAATAAGCATCCAATGGACAGGCAAGTCTTGGCAGAACCCATTCTTTCCTAATAAACCATATTTCCATTTTCTTTTCTTTTGTTACTATTTATGATACAATTAGCTGAATACAGAGACAGGACAAAGCTAGCCAGATGACTTACATTCTAATAAGATCCCAAAAGAACATGAGATAAATTGAAAATAGGATACATCAGGACCCCCAAAATGAGTTTTGCACCTTATCTATTGTTTCCATTCTGCTTTCTAAATTGTTGTTTTAGCTTGCAACATCCATGCTTAAACCTATGAATCATTAGGAAGAGGGTATATTGATTTATGAAAATTAGGCGGATAGGCACCAATATGTCTGTGTAATCATAGAGCCCATTTAATGTTGGGATGGGGAAGTGGTGATGTCATTATGAGACACAGAAACATCAGCTCCAATTAATCATCCAGGATTATTTATCTAATAGCCAATTATTTCATGTCTGTTGTAAATTTGACCACCAGAAACCACTCCCAAGGTAGTTCTTTAAAATTTTATTTTTTTAGCTGTAACTTAAGTTGCTCTGTAACCCATGAAGTTTGTGGTTGGTTCCTCTAGAGTAAATCTGTTTAACTTTCACATTTCAAGGAACTGCGACAAACAAGCGTCATTCTCTGCCGGAATACCTATCATCAGTATAAAGACATACAGAACTAACTTCAGTTTAAAAAAAAATCCTTCTTTCCTCCAACATTTCTGTTTTGAACAAATCTCATCCCCTTAGTAGTAAAAATCTCCAAAATTTTTTATAGATATATGCATCTATCTTAATTTATTTCTATCATTCTTTTTGCTTTTTAATATTTGTTATGAAATATATCATTATGAACTATAACACATATAAAGGTGAATTAAAGATGAGCACAGACAATGATAATGTACTAATAGTATATATCAAAAACCTAGAAATGCATTTGAACATTTTAGCATAGGAAAATGAAAAATATTTGAGGACATATATTTTAGCATGATTTAAACATTACATATTACATGTAAGTATTGAAATATCATATGGCACCCTTTAAACAAATGAATTTTTCTCTTTATATATCTGTTACAATAAAACAAATTAAAACCAAACACAAAATGAGCTATTCTAGTTTAAAAATTTTTAAAATACATTTTAATTATATTCTTTCACCTCTCTACTCACTCAACTTCTTATTCTCTCTCTAAAAACAACACAAAACAAGTAGCAAAGGTCAAAACCAACCAACCAAACAAACAAATAAAAACCAGTAAGACAAAAAGTATAAAAACAAAACAAAAACACATACATGAAAATCATGGAGTCTGTTTTATGTTGTCCAAATATTCCTTAGACATGGGACCTCCCATGAAGTGTGGTTAATATACCCAGTGACACTCCACTCGAAGAAACAGATGTTATCTTTCTCAGGGTCTGTCAACTTGAAATGGCTTCTTGGTTGCGGGTGGGACTTTGTGTACACTCCCTTTCCCAGTGCTGGGGTTCCTCTGGTTTCAATAGTGCAGGTCTTGTTCATGCTGTCAGAGTTTCTGTGAATTAATGTATATCAATCTTGTTACGTCTGGAAGACACTGTTTTTCGGAGTCACCCATCACCTCTATCTCTGACAATCCTTTTGCCTCCTCTTCTGCATCCCCAAGCCTTGGAGAAAGGGGTTTGATAAATACATCTTCTTTAGGGTTGAGTGATCCAAAGTCAAAATGAACTATTTTTATAGAAAGCCCTTAACATACTCTCAAAATATACATGGAATATTTTTTCAACAGGTAAATAAATAAATGCAACATAATGTTCATAACACAGTTTTACTATACAGTAGTTTAAGCAAATAACTCAGATCCAAAGAAAAAATACCTCAAAAAGGCTACATAATAGCAATATATGGGCACTGTTTGGCTTATTTTAAAAAGTAACAAAACATACTGTATTTAATTCATGAATAGCAGAAGTATGCAATGGTCTTACAAACAAACCAAAAAGAAAGGCATTAAGTCTACTATGCATGGTTGACTACAGAATGGGAACAAGAAGCCAGACTGGAGATGAAACAATGAAATTTTACCTGTAATGTCTTATTTCTTTCATAAAAAAGAAAGAAAAGCTAAAGTGGCAAGATGTTAGTGGTTTTCTGTTCTGGATGCTGGTACAAGACACTTATATTGTGCAGTTATGCTGATTAAAGAGGGGCTTACTCATAATAACAATCTACAGAATCATTTCTAGGACATTCAGTTAACACAAAATAATGGCATACTCCCAAAGTTATAGCTGTCTGGATAGTTAGAAAGTGCACATTGATGTGAGATAGTACAAACCTGATATTGGAAAGATTCAGCTCCTGATATGTCTGGGGTTAGATTAATAAATGAATTTACTTATGGTGAATTCTTTTAAAAATCACAAAAGATTAAATAGTTAATATTTTAATGAGCAAAATAATGGTTTCTCAAAGACATGGACATTTTGAAAAATGAATTTATGACTATTCAAATATTTATTGAAAAAATCTTTTGGTCACTTCCACAAATATACCATGTCCTCCAGCTTCCCCCTCTTCACCTTCCCCTGTGTAACTGCTGTCTGTGGATGATAACTTAATGCCCTTCATTTTTTTCATGATTTTCCATCATTGGGGCATATCCATAAAAACACAAGTTCTATCTGCATGCAATGTATAAAATGTGATAAAAATTGTCTTGCAAAGTCTGTAATAGTGTATCCATGGTCATTGTTATAAGGATTAAATTGTACATGTGTCCTACAACTGACATATCCACCCTGAGCATTCCTGAACAGATTCTGTGGTACAAATGCACATGAGTCCTTTCAGGGCATATTTGTGCAAATTAATTGTCTGTGACACAGTGTGTATGCTTGCATTTGCAAATTCTTTTATCCCATTACAAATGATTTCTCATTAACACACTTCTGAAATAGCTCTTTGTTAGCTTTTCGTGATCATCTACTTTGCAAAGCATGATATCAATCTCCATGCTTATTTTACTTATAATCCCTCCAGAGCAGTTCATTACCACCTCCATATGTGCTGTCCACTGAGTTTCTAAATTCCATTCTTTCTTAGTTTCTTTTTGATCCTACTGATCCACATCATTTCTCATTTTCCTGTCTCCAAATTCAGAGTGCTTTGGAGGACTAGTTCTTCTCTTCTCTAGTTATATTTTCTATGTGGTACCGTCCATCC